AATACAACGAGTGTCAGTCAGTACAGGATGTATTTGGGTTCTAACACAGTAGGTTTCACAACTATTTAGATGAAATGCATGATAAAATTTCTACTTTAATTTTAAGATCAATGATATGTTCAATTTTGGCAAGGAAAGTTGTTTTCGTGTTAACTTTCCGTGAACTTCATTCATACTGTGTAATAGGATGAGAAACTTGACGTCATGTATGACATTTTCAGAATGTTTCAGTCATGAGACTACACAACAACAACAATATGGAGTTTATCAGTGTCATATGCCTCTCAGGATGTTTGATTCAGCCGGCGCTGTGGTTGTTTGACGTGTGTATTAATGTATCGTTGGTTGGTTGGTTTGTTGTTTAAAGCCGCACTCAGCAATATTCCAGCTATATGACGGCGGTCTGTAAATAATCGAGTCTGGACCAGACAATCCAGTGATTAATATCATGATCATCGCTCCACACAATTGGGATCGATGACATGCATCAACCAAGTCAGCGAGTCTGACCACCCGATCCCGTTAGTCGCCTTTTACGACCAGCATAGTCGCCTTTTACGGCAAGCATGGGTTGCTGAAGAGCTATTCTACCCCGGATCTTCACAGGTAGTATTAATGTATAGGATACTGGACTCAAACCAGTTGGCCTGACAACCTAGGGGTATACAGCAGGGGTATCCCAGTGTAGAGTCATACCTTAGTTGTCCTGGAGCAACAAATGAAAAACCAAATCGTATATAGGGAGTCAAGCAGAGATATGTTACAGCAGAAAACTTATTCCCGTATTTTCAGGTGTCTACTATTATACACCTACAGTTTTGATGTTGTACCAGGTGTAAGTTAAGGATGTTTCTTGCACAACACTATCATTGTTATGGCTATCACCTCACTCATAGCAAGTAAACATTCATATCATTTTCATGGCAAGGTTGCTTTTATTCCCAATGGAATCTGTCTTAGCAGAGAGTGGTTATTGAAGTTTTGTATTTACCATTTACATGCAATGAGAAAAGCAACGGCAATGAAAATTAATCTTCACAAGAAAACCTTCCTTGAAACAATAGTAGTTTCCAAATGCTTCTACCACAAATGCCCTGTTATAAGATGGTAATATCGTTGTCTCCCAGACCCTAGCAAAAGATTTAGAAAGGAGTCCAACTCAAGTCTAGATTGCCTCAGCTTTCAAACCTGAAATTAAGGATTGTTCTGGGCGCCATTTGGATTTTATTATTTATATTTTGTAGATATATATTGGTAAGCAAGATAACTTTATTTCTGGGACTAATTGTCAGTCTAGTAATATCTCTGAAGGGCTTCATGATGATGCAAACAATATTTCATTTTTGTAAAGAAATCATCAATATATTTATGAAATTGAACTTCTCAAAACTGAAAGTCTACAAAGGAAACATGTAAAATGGACAACATTCAAACATACATAGCTAAGCGTGGAGTCAGCAAATCGTCTTCAGGTTGTGTTGTACCATTGTGTTGTTGAATGTGTATCCCAGGAGCCATTCCTCCAACAACTGTATCACAGCCATCAGTCTGTGTTGAGCCATTGTGTTGTTGAATGTGTATCCCAGCCATCAGTCTGTGTTGAGCCATTGTGTTGTTGAATGTGTATCCCAGCCATCAGTCTGTGTTGAACCATTGTGTTGTTGAATGTGTATCCCAGCCATCAGTCTGTGTTGAACCATTGTGTTGTTGAATGTGTATCCCAGGAGCCATTCCTAAAAAAACTGTAACACAGCCATCAGTCTGTGTTGAACCATTGTGTTGTTGAATGTGTATCCCAGGAGCCATTCCTAAAAAAACTGTAACACAGCCATCAGTCTGTGTTGAACCATTGTGTTGTTGAATGTGTATCCCAGGAGCCATTCCTAAAAAAACTGTAACACAGCCATCAGTCTGTGTTGAGCCATTGTGTTGTTGAATGTGTATCCCAGCCATCAGTCTGTGTTGAACCATTGTGTTGTTGAATGTGTATCCCAGGAGCCATTACTCCAACAACTGTATCACAGCCATCAGTCTGTGTTGAACCATTGTGTTGTTGAATGTGTATCCCAGCCATCAGTCTGTGTTGAACCATTGTGTTGTTGAATGTGTATCCCAGGAGCCATTCCTAAAAAAACTGTAACACAGCCATCAGTCTGTGTTGAACCATTGTGTTGTTGAATGTGTATCCCAGCCATCAGTCTGTGTTGAGCCATTGTGTTGTTGAATGTGTATCCCAGGAGCCATTCCTAAAAAAACTGTAACACAGCCATCAGTCTGTGTTGAACCATTGTGTTGTTGAATGTGTATCCCAGGAGCCATTCCTAAAAAAACTGTAACACAGCCATCAGTCTGTGTTGAACCATTGTGTTGTTGAATGTGTATCCCAGGAGCCATTCCTAAAAAAACTGTAACACAGCCATCAGTCTGTGTTGAACCATTGTGTTGTTGAATGTGTATCCCAGGAGCCATTCCTTAAAAAACTGTAACACAGCCATCAGTCTGTGTTGAGCCATTGTGTTGTTGAATGTGTATCCCAGCCATCAGTCTGTGTTGAACCATTGTGTTGCTGAATGTGTATCCCAGGAGCCATTCCTCAAAAAACTGTTACACAGCCATCAGTCTGTGTTGAAGTACCGATACTGGTAATCAAGGCTTTGATTGCTTTATTGACTTGAGAATCTTGTATAGGCCGATACCATTGATGTTGAGATGGCACAGTGTTTGCTACAAGTTTCCACATTGATGTTGAGATGGTACAGTGTTTGTTTCAAGTTTCCACATTGATGTTGAGATGGTACAGTGTTTTCTGCAAGTTTCCACATTGATGTTGAGATGGTACAGTGTTTGCTACAAGTTTCCACATTGATGTTGAGATGGTACAGTGTTTGCTACAAGTTTCCACATTGATGTTGAGATGGTACAGTGTTTGCTACAAGTTTCCACATTGATGTTGAGATGGTACAGTGTTTGCTACAAGTTTCCACATTGATGTTGAGATGGTATAGTGTTTGTGTCAAGTTTCCACATTGATGTTGAGATGGTACAGTGTTTGCTACAAGTTTCCACATTGATGTTGAGATGGTACAGTGTTTGTGTCAAGTTTCCACATTGATGTTGAGATGGTACAGTGTTTGCTACAAGTTTCCACATTGATGTTGAGATGGTATAGTGTTTGCTACAAGTTTCCACATTGATGTTGAGATGGTACAGTGTTTGCTACAAGTTTCCACAATGATGTTGAGATGGTATAGTTTTTGCTACAAGTTTCCACATTGATGTTGAGATGGTACAGTGTTTTCTGCAAGTTTCCACATTGATGTTGAGATGGTATAGTGTTTGCTACAAGTTTCCACATTGATGTTGAGATGGTACAGTGTTTGCTACAAGTTTCCACATTGATGTTGAGATGGTACAGTGTTTGTGTCAAGTTTCCGCAATGATGTTGAGATGGTACAGTGTTTGTGTCAAGTTTCCACATTGATGTTGAGATGGTACAGTGTTTGTGTCAAGTTTCCACATTGATGTTGAGATGGTACAGTGTTTGCTACAAGTTTCCACATTGATGTTGAGATGGCACAGTGTTTGCTACAAGTTTCCACATTGATGTTGAGATGGTACAGTGTTTGCTACAAGTTTCCACATTGATGTTGAGATGGTACAGTGTTTGCTACAAGTTTCCACATTGATGTTGAGATGGTACAGTGTTTGTGTCAAGTTTCCACATTGATGTTGAGATGGTACAGTGTTTGTTTCAAGTTTCCACATTGATGTTGAGATGGTACAGTGTTTGCTACAAGTTTCCACATTGATGTTGAGATGGTACAGTGTTTGCTACAAGTTTCCACATTGATGTTGAGATGGTACAGTGTTTGTGTCAAGTTTCCACATTGATGTTGAGATGGTATAGTGTTTATTTCCAGTTTCCACAATGTTGTTTTGAGTATACAGTAAACTTCAGTTATAATGAACTCAAAGGGACTAATAATTTTTGTACTGTACTTCCTTAAAAGCGTTTCATCTAAAAGATAGCGCAAATGGCTGGGACCAAAAACAACAGTTTGTTATATCCGTCACTTTGTGATGAGCATGTTCGCTATAAGCATAGTGTACTGTATAGCCATCTCCACCCACCCTCTTTAAGTATTTGAGATAATTATATGGCAGTGTGTAATATGTATCTGCCGTTCACAAGCCGTGAAGAAGTCTGACAAGAAATAACTCCCTCTTGGTGAAAGATAATGCTTCATTGGAGTAAAACTCTACTCACACAAGATATAGTTTTATAGCCAAGTCATGCATTGATGTCAAGTAGAGCATGGAGAAAAGATTCACCAGACGACTTGCAATCATGTGATGATTTAACTGTTAGTATTCCCATAATGTAATCTTTAAGTTTTCTTGGGTTGAGGGGGCATAGGCTTATCCACAGGCAGTGATTTAGTAATCTGCTTGATGTACAGTTCTTGAAAGACACTTCACTTGTCCAAGATTTAGTTTCATATCTCTTGAGGCAGCATTGCTGTGAATTATTTGTCAAGGAATTGCAGTCGGAATATTGATACAAACGTTTTACTTGAATCAAAATATGTTTCATGTATGATTCATGTCTTTTAGCCCTGAGGTGGTAATGGGTAGTTTTAAAATACATTTAAAGTGAGTAAGTGAGTGAGTATGGTTTTACGCCGCTTTTAGCAATATTCCAGCAATATTATGGCGGGGGACACCAGAAATGGGCTTCACATATTGTACCCATGTCGGGAATCGAACCTGGGTCTTCGGCGTGAAAAGCGAACGCTCTAACCACTAGGCTGCCCGACCGCCCCTTATACATTTTTAAAAAGGCATTCATTGAAGGAAACAGTCAAGATCAGCTTGTCATATTACATCTATAAGTAAACTTCTTTAAATATGAGTATAAATATATATTACTATTTTGTCCTTGTTTTCAAATGTATATTGAAAGTTTTCCAGGTATTTTCACGTTGTTTTATTCATTGCAGGTCCTTGGGGTGCGTGTGAAAATGAGCGCTGCGGGTTTGGAGGAACACAGTATCGCGAAGTGTGGTGTCAGAGTGACAGAGGACACCCTGTACATTATTCCTATTGTGGATCGCTCCACAAACCTTCAGAGTTTGAAACTTGTTATAAAGACTGCAACGCAGAGAGTGTTATTCTGGACAAGAACTACGGTGAACGTGACTCTTGGTCACAAGCAGTTGACGTTGTGTGGTCCGTATCTCCCTGGAGCACTTGCAAACTCTCCCCCGGGAGTAAAGTGTGTGGGAAATATAATGGAGTTCAAACACGAAAAGTTATCTGTGAACGTCGAGACAGCCATATTAAAGTTGAGGAGCACTTATGTCAAGTACATGAACGAAAACCAAACAGGACTCAACCATGTGAATTGCTATGTAAGCAAGATTGTATAGTTTCTTTATATTCCAGTTGGAGTAAATGTGATTCAACATGTCGTATTCCAAATCGGTCAAAGACAAGACGGATTATCGTGCCTCCAAGACATGGGGGGAAACATTGTCAGGCATTTTCTATGATGTTACCTTGTGAAAACTGCACTGAATCGTACTCATATTCCTTGGAACCCTGGGAACCCTGCCAGCCGTTCGAAAACACATTCAGGGAAAACGTGAAAACTCATCCTCTCATTGGATACCAAAAACGGGTGATCAACTGCCTCGCCAGCAGAGGCACAATAACTAAACTCAAGTGAGTCTCATGTTTCATTTCTTCGTTCAACATACAATAAGGACATTTCCCTGAAAATGCATGGTAGAATAGGTCTTCAGCAACCCATGCTTGCCGTAAAAGAATACTGTGCTTGTCGTAAGAGGCGACTAACAGGATCGGGTGATCAGGATCACTTATTTTATTGATGCATGTCATCGTATCCCAATTGTCTGGATCGATGCTCATGATGTCAATCACTGGATTGTCTGGTCCAGATTCGATTTTATACAGACTGACGCCATGTAGCTGGAATATTGCTGAGTGCGATGGTAAACAACAAACAAACAAACAAAAACAGGGTTCTATACCGCTCAACGTTTACTAAAGACCACACATTTGACTAAAGATGACTACTCTGGTCCTTAGCAAATGTTGAGTTTTATGTCAGTGGATGTGAGTGTATGTTTTCATAGGTTCATTACAGAACTGAGGAAATGTATGATACAGGCCCTTTTGGCCAGAACTACAAAATATTGGTTTTTGGAAACATGTTTTAGAATGTTCAGTGAAAGGGTTTCTAGGCCTGAGCACTTGCCAGACTTCTGATGGTATTAGATGGTTCAGACATCTTACCCAGGCTTATTTCCTGTAGATGTGTAGGTAACCATATAGAGTGCAAGTGTTTGGGATATTACAAAATGTGCTGTAGATATTATCATGATTATACATTTGCTCCACTAGTTTGAAGGATTGCCGCTAATTGCCAGATCTATACTTTATAGAGTCCACAGCAAGTTTTCCATCGCTGTCATTAAATTTCTTAACAAATTTGAAAAGTTTCCCCCAAAGTATGATGTTTGTTCTTGTTGGCAGGGCAGTTTCTGCATGTAGATGTCATGTGTTTGTTCTTGTTGGCAGGGCAGTTTCTGCGTGTAGATGTCATGTGTTCTTGTTGGCAGGGCAGTTTCTGCATGTAGATGTCATGTGTTTGTTCTTGTTGGCAGGGCAGTTTCTGCGTGTAGATGTCATGTGTTTGTTCTTGTTGGCAGGGCAGTTTCTGCGTGTAGATGTCATGTGTTCTTGTTGGCAGGGCAGTTTCTGCGTGTAGATGTCATGTGTTTGTTCTTGTTGGCAGGCCAGTTTCTGCGTGTAGATGTCATGTGTTCTTGTTGGCAGGGCAGTTTCTGCGTGTAGATGTCATGTGTTTGTTCTTGTTGGCAGGCCAGTTTCTGCGTGTAGATGTCATGTGTTTGTTCTTGTCGGCAGGGCAGTTTCTGCGTGTAGATGTCATGTGTTCTTGTTGGCAGGGCAGTTTCTGCGTGTAGATGTCATGTGTTCTTGTTGGCAGGGCAGTTTCTGCGTGTAGATGTCATGCGTTTGTTCTTGTTGGCAGGGCAGTTTCTGTGTGTAGATGTCATGTGTTTGTTCTTGTTGGCAGGGCAGTTTCTGCGTGTAGATGTGTGTATGCTATAAGTTGTGTTGCTTTCTGATTGTTACAGTACACAACACATTACATGTTACACATTTCGTGAATCAGATAAATGTACAATGTGTTGTCCGGCAGTTTAATATTCTGCGGGAATTTAGAAAATGTAACGTATGTAACTCCGATTATACTGACAATGAAGACCACTTTTTGCTGGTATGTCCAGGCTGTACCCACCTGAGACAAATGTATCTAAGTCAAAGTATTATAAATACCCAAATTAACAGAGGTTTGATTTACTGCTATTTAAGTCCAACTAAATAATTATTAACACACAAAAAAAAATTACTTTGAAAATGTGGAAAGATCTGATATCCTAAGTTTATAATGGAACCTGAGATACAATTATCAATATGTGCTATATGTAATGTCCATGTGTTATTTCTTACATGTATGTCGTGCACACTGGTTTGTAATGCCATATGTATGTACACAAAGGCATCCGGTCTATCCGTACTGAAATAATAAAATGAACTAGACAATGTGACAGTGCTTGCAGAGACCCAACAGCCATGTGGAATCTGTGTTCACTGTGGTCAAATTCCATGTCCGAATTTGTCCCAAGAACCTTATGTTAAACTGGGGATTGGGTGGTCCGACTCTGTGACTTGGCTGATAAAGTGTTCTGTACCCAAATGGTGTGGCACATTGCTTTTGTGTTCACTGGTAAAAATGGTAACCAATCTAGATGTAATTATTTTCAAGCTGTTGTGATGTAGTTGTAATATTTTGATGTCTATGGTGTAGAGTGGAATTCAATCACTCAACTTCCATGGAAATAACTAGTTTGAAGACAATATGTCAGGTAAAACAACTCTATTGCCAGATTTATTGAGCTTTCAGACAAGATTTGTTTTTTTATTATGTATGTTCAGCTATGACCCTATACTGATTTGCTCCGTGTTTGTGGGAAAGTATGATGACTGATGGACGCCTGCTGGTATATCCTCACTGATGGACGTCCATAGGCACCACAAGGTCTCCGAGCAGCCAATGAATGACATCACATACAGCAAACCCTTTCATAGAATATTAATGCGCTCTGTCGTGTCTCAACAAAGATGAGAATAATATAATGTAATGTAATCAGCAGAAACACTGAAGCCCAGACAAATGTACATTGTGATTCCGATGTTATTATCCCTGTGAAGATCCAGGTTAGAACTTTTTTCAGTAACTCGTTCTTGTGGCAAGAGGTGACTAACAGGATCGGGTGGTCAGGCTCTCTGACTTGGTTGATGCATGTCATCATATTCAATTTGCTTAGATCAATGCTCTTGATATCAAACACAAGATTGTCTGATCCAGACTTGATTATTTACCGACTGCCATCATATAGCTTGAAGAGTGCTGAGGGCAGTGTTAACTCTTTCATCACTGGCTGCCCCAGAGTTATGTCCCTTGAGACCCTGCAGTCCCTGACACTGACAAGGCCTGTACACTGGCCTCCCTGGCAGTATTATTGGAAAATCACACTATCATTTTTGATGCACTTTTTCTACCAGAAACTTGCTTTTAATATACATTTATCATATACCATTGTAAAGAGGATTAAGTATACTTTAATATTCTTTGTTGTTATTGTCTCTAACCTTTGTTATTTTCTAATTACAGGTGTTTACAAGTGAAATAAAACTTGAAAACACTGAAAAAATGAAAACAGACAATGAATTTTGGCTCAAATTGTATTACAAATCACAAAAATAAATCACAGATACAAGGTAAACATAACACAGTGGTCTTGTCATCTTGGACGGCACAGGTTATCCCAGGTGTTACAGGTAAATTCTCTTCATGCACATCTGTAAACAAATAAACAAGTTTACAACTCTTGGTACTGACTTTGTTTTCTATACTGATGTCACATATTACTTATGATACACTTACAGCCTCTTAGGTAAACTCGTTAACACAGGTAAACTTGTTAACGCAGGTAAACTCGTTAACACAGGTAAAAACACAAATATTTGATTTATTTTGTTCTTTTTCAGGATTTGAAACAAAAATTAAGTATTTAAGTTTTTAAAAAGTTATTTATCACATTATCTGAACATTGAACCACAGCTACTATAAGAATGACATCACAGGGAAGATAACACAGATTGATCTGAAGAGGGAAACATTGTAAAAGGACGGAAAGATCGTAAATTCAAGTTCTGCAAATATACAAGTTGTGATAACATATTTACAATACACTGCTATTTACAATTGCATAATAAATTAAATCAGTACTTTATTAAATCAATTAATAAATAAATAATCATTACAGTTACTAAAATTTAAATTAAGATGTAAAAAACAAGAAAACAAACATGAATATGGAAATAAATTTTATTCAAATTGAGCGAAATATAAGGACATACGACAAACCGGCAAACTACAATTCGGATTGCGATCAGAAAAATAATTTTTTAAAAAAAGAAACAGATACGTCATGCCACTCACCTTTGTTGTTGTTGTGATCGCTCGTTCACGTGTAGGCTGCATTCTCATTCGTCGCACTGATAATCTGTTCAAACACAGAATCATTGTAAAACAGTTGGAAAAAATCAATAGCACGACTCTTCACTCACCGTGTCAATATATATTCTTGAATCCGGTCGCCTCTTCAAAATCCCTCATGTCTCCACTGTCGTGTGTCCCTCTGCCACTCCCATTCTCGAAAGTTGGCGGGGGGGGGGGACACCTCGTCGAAACCGTCAAAATCTTCACGAAAATATTCGCGAAATTCCCTCTCCCCTTCGCGTAAATTATTCAATTCAAACACATTATTATTCCCGATATAGTCGTTGTTAATCATCTGATCGCTATCCGAATCGTAGTTGGCCGCCATTACGCTTGATTTACGATTCAAGCGAGAAAAATACCTGTCGCGAAAACAGGTGACATACCCGCGATTTTCGCGCCAAAAAGACGGGGAAATTCCATCGAATGACGTGTCATTACGTGTAGATCTCGTTTCCATATTTAGAACGAGATTACACACGAGAAAGGAAGTAGAAAGAGCGATTTTGTAAACACGCTCGCGCCGCCCGATTTATCGGGCAGCCGGGTTCTGGGCCTCGGCTTATGCTGCCCGATTTTTCGGGCAGCCGGGTCCTGGGACACGGTTTATCCTGCCCGATAAATCGGGCAGTCGGGGCGAAAGGGTTAAACAACAAACAAAAAAAACAAAAAATGTAATGTCATGTGAATTCAAAGTGTCAAGAGAGGGATTATACTCCCATGGTGTACCGCCATGTCTAGACTGTGATATCGCTAGTGTCAGACATTCCTTCAGTGCAATAGTGTAATCATTACCTGATAGATTGCTATACTTCATCAACTCTGAGTTACAGACAAACAAAATGAGTTGTGAAGGACTTAATTGAATCCTGCTTGCAAGGACTACCAACTGACTTATTGCCGTAAAAGGTGACTATGCTTGTCGTAAAAGGCGACCAACGGGATCGGGTGGTCAGGCTTGCTGACTTGGTTGATGCATGTCATCAATCCCAATTGCGTGGATCGATGCTCATGATATAAATCACTGGATTGTCTGGTCCAGACTCGA